AAAAGGAAGGAAAATTGCCTTCAATTTTTTTTAGATTCCAGACTGAATTTTTAGGGTTTGTGGTTGTTCAGAAGTTGCAGGTGCTGATGGGGAAAACCTTTATTTGAAATAAAGCAGTTTTCGAATTTGTAGTCACTTACAACTTCTTTAATCTTGAATAACTATTCCATTTTCAATTTGTGAAATCTTTGGGCAGAGTGGAAAAATCAGTTTTCCCTTTTCTGTTCTCTTTCCTCATTTTTGTTGTTTTCCAACTTGTAGTTGGGAATAGAGAGATACTTGTAGCTGGGAAAATTAGCAGGCAGCATAGACTTTGTCTACTGCTGTGCTAGTCTGATAAGAGCAGCATACTTTTTTTTTTTATTCCTGTTCGCTCTTTCTCCTTGTCAGTTAATAGTATACTTGGATATTTTTAAGGAAGAGGCAAACCTTTTCCACTCATTTAATGTATTTTTGGCATCGATATTAGGAAATGACTGTTTCAGTTTACTCACTGTAGGCTAACATTTCTGGCAAGTTAATTTTCTTCTTCTAAGATGACATTTTTCCGTATTGGCACATATGCAAACCACTTCCAGAAACCAAGTAAATACTGTGTTGTGTTTTGTTCAGTGATTTAATTAGCAGTTTGAGCTTTCTTATTTATTCACAACATGTGGATAGAAATATCTCTGTCTTCATCTGACACAAAGTTTAGTTTTTTTAATGAAAGCACTAAAGCCACAAAGGAGATGAAAGAGTTGAATGTAGAATTACCTTCAGTTGAGTGTCATGAACATGAAACACTGTATAAATAGCAATTACTATTAATCTTGCCAGAATTGTCACCTTGTTCTTGAAGCACAAAAATGAAGTAACAGCTTGCAGTAAGGAAGGATGTTTGTTTGCTACATCTCTGTACATTCATCTTGACCACATTAATGGCTCTGTTGTAGTCTGATGGAGCTGGGCACTCACCTAAAACTGGCATTTGATTGTCTGAGCTACAAAGATTTTTTTCAAGCATAGCTATTCTTTAATTGCATAACTTGAGATTTAAAAAAATATGTCCATCGAGTGATTTCTTAATTCAGAGTTACTATTTTTTCCTGCAAAGGAAGGATGGAATTACTTGATCTTAAATCAATGACAGAAAACTTCTAAGATCTACTTCTTAATAATCCTAATACTAGTTTACATGTTGCTTTCAGCACTGATGAAAAATCAATATTTTGATTTTTCATTTCAGTCTTGATTTTAAGTATTGTATACTGCAACCCCCCTAAATTGACCAGTTAAGTACAAAGAACTTTAGAAGAGAACAACAGTTTTAAGTTCGTGTGGCTATCTTCTTGTCCTGCTGTTACTTGGAATAGATTTGGTGTATTCATTTTGTGACCTCATGCTTTACTTCACTGCTGGCACCACAGTGGTCCTTGGATTATTGATATACCTTCCCCAGTGTACATGAAATAAAGTTGATGTGTGGTGTTGGGGTTTTTTTTATTAATAAGGGTTTAATAAATAAAGTTAATACTGAATTTAACAGTTCCTGGCTACTTGCCTGTATCAGCGAAAGGTGTCTGAAGTGTTTCAGGCAGAATTTATAATGCAATTGACAGACTGTTGTTTAGCCTGTTGCTCAGGCTGTTTGGATTATGTGTAATTCTTAAATTTCATGAGGCTTCAGGAGGCACCAGGACTGTTTCTCTTGTGGTACCACTCCTCAGTTAGAGTTTGCATTCCAAACACAAAACTAGTTGTGCTGTAACTTAAAATTGTTTAAATGTAATATCTTCAAAAGTCCAGAAAGCTCCCAGGTATCTCTAAGACCTGTGGCTGTGATAATTGGTTTAGTGTGATGTATTTTAAGCCTGCTCAGGGAGCACACATGCACTGTGCTTTATATTTTTGACCAGTTAGCAGATATCTTTAATACAATCCATTTCCTCCCCCTTGCTATTCTCTTTGTATTCTCTGTCTGAGTTTGGGGGGTAATGGTGTTTTTCATTTTGCACTACTGAACTACTGCACTAGTTTTCCTTGTGTAGAACTGGTGAAAAGTGGACCTCAGAGTGGAGCAGCTGCTGTCTGTTAATTGTCTTCGTCCCCAGTCATAAGACATCCATCAGTCTTGGTAATGAAATTACAGATCTGACCGAGTGACTTTGTTGCTAGGCTACCTGTCCTCTGAAAAGGCAGTTTCTTTCAGCTTTGGCTCACCTTTTTAATGTACCGATTGCTGATTCAAGTACAGTAGCTAAACTTCACTGTCCTCTCCATAGCTTCAAATCTCTTGGATATCTACTGGAAGCCTCAGTAGCAGAGCTGAATACGCAAGCATTTCATGTTACAGTGGCTTCTATAACAATACGTTTATAACAGGAATTTTTAAATTCATTGCACAAATGGATTCTTCATTTATTCCAGATTTGTGGATGGTAACAGGTAGGCTCAACAGAAGTTTTTGAGTCCAGAAAAGACTTTGAGTCAGGACAATGAGAAGATGCTATTTTGTATCAGAACGTTTTGTGATTTTTTTTTTTAATTTTTTTTTTTTTTTAAGCCAACAGCAAAATACAATAGTTTTGTCTAACCCTTCTGTTACACACTCCAGCAGCCTTGTTTACGTCAGTCAAAGTGCCAAGCATTTGGGAGCAAATGGGATTCTTAGGGAAAAGGGTCTTCAGGGATGACTTCAGGTATTGTGGATCCTTATGGGTAGAATGAATAATTTTGAGACAGTCCTTGATCAAGAGAAATGCTACATTAGAAACCAAACTTCACCATTATTGAGGTCTGAATCACAAATGGCTGGAGGTGAGGAGTCTATCCTGAAGAGGTATTTCTGCACCCATCTCTTGTGCTTGTTCAGACTTGTGATTTTCAGTGTGGAAAGTCTAGCATTTAGTTTCATCTAGTACCACTGCTCTGTATATGGCATTCTCTGAGCTTAGCATAGGGTAGAAATGGTCTTTGGAGCCAAGATCTTTTCCCATTTGTGATATATACGTAACAATGCATGCCTCAAAACCTAACGCAGTGCATCACAAATGTGAATTTTTTCTGACCTGTCAGTAGTTCATCTAAAAGATACTGGGGGGGAACCCAAAACCCTTAACTTTGTCCTATTTTCTGTTTCTGCTGAGGCTAAGTAAATTTGTTTTCCCATAATGACAATCATTTTGCTCGTACATACAGCATGTAATGTACAGTATGCACAGCTGACTTGGAGTTGCATAAGTACTTGGCAGATGTCCAGTGTGTTTCGGTTGCATTGCGAGTGGTTGCCAGGAAGTGGCAATGCAATGTCAGAATGAATAAGTACATTTGTGTGGTTTTTGTTTGTGTGTTTGTGTTTGTTTTTTTTTAAATGGTAGAAGTTTTAGATACCTCAATTTATGTTTGCTTTTGCAAGTATTATGTATGGACGTATATGTCTCAGAGTCCCATTTGTAGTAAAACCCTTAGATTCCAGAATCTTTGTAAACAAAACGACTTCTGAATATTCCAGTGGCTTGTTTTCTGAACTAAAAATAAAAATATTTTTAAAATGCTTGCTCTTGTATACGGCTGTAGGCTATGATTCTTGAAGCTGCATGTGGAATAAAACATAAGAATGGAAAAATACTGTTTTTCTACATTCACTAAAGGAAAATGCAGTTTTAAAACGTATTGTTGCTAATGGTGGCTGTTTGTGTGCATGTGAAAATGGCACTACCGCATTACCTAGAACTTTGTGCTGTCTTGATTTGTTGGTTCTCAGTCCAATGGAAACCTTTTCCAACAGCTAGCGTAGTTTGTATTCACTTGGTAGGACTCAGCATTCCTTGTGGATAATATATCCCTAAAGGTAGGCTTGGGGCCTATGATAATGGCTTCTTAGTATGGACTAAATTGTAGATCTGGGAAAGTGGCTAAGCCTTTCAGTTACTTGCCAGGCTGGGGAGATTGCATTGATTTCTACCAGGAAATCTTTCTACATTTGTTTATCTCAATGTTTCACAAGATTGGTTTATATTGCTTAAATACAACTTTGATTTTACTGGCTGCTTAAAGCTAATGCTGTAACTGCATTGTTCTCTCAAGGATAATCTTCCTTTAAAAAGTTGTTATGCTACTTTCCTGTTTTCTTAAGCTCTGTTCATTCATGCGGAATGAGACAGTTGCCTTCAGAATTTGTCTGATTAAATGTAATGTGCTTTTCTTTACAATGTGCATTGTTGCATATATTATGCTTTGTTAAACTTCTGCAGTTATCATTAGTTCTTTGTAGTATTTCTAAAATTTATAGCTTCATCTGTGATGGGAAATGCAGTTACATGGTTGCCACTGGAAATGAGAGAACCGTGCAATTAAATCCCTTAGTTTACTTAAACATCATTCATAAAGCGCAACATTGTAGTAAGACTGCTCTGCTAACTTATTTTGAGGAGTTAACAGAATTTGAGTGTGAACGGCTTACTGTTTTAATGAACTGTAAGAAGAAATGTATACATGAGGTGACCATACATAATACATTTTTTAAAGTTTTAAAACAAGTTTGAGCATTTTAGATAGAATTTGTCAGTTCCTGTTAACAAATAAAAATCAAATGGCAAGTCAGTCATGAAGGTTAAAATAATGATGAATTCTGTGAATAATTTCAATAGTCATATTAATAGGGATATTCTATAAATGTATGTTAATCTGTGGTATTCAAATGCCAATATTAATTCTTCCCACTTCTGGAAGAAGTTGTATTAAATTATAATTTAATTCATCAATTACATAAATTATGGGAAAGTTACTATTCAAATAGAAGACTAGTTTGTGTATTCCTATCTATGCACTTGAATCTCTGATTTTTTTTTATCTGTTGTGCTTGAAGATTGAAATTAAAAGCATTCATTACTCTAATTTTTGATGTCTTTGAAGTGAGTTGCTCAAATTGCAAATTCAGCTTTTATTTTAGTCAGTTTTCTGTATAAAACTGAAAGTTTTCAGCTTTTATGTTACAAGTTGATTTTTATGAACTTTTTTTTCCTCTAGCTTTCCAAGACCAACTTCTCCAACAACAATGATTTTCGGGCTCTTCTGCAATCTCTTTATGCCACATTTAAGGAATTTAAAATGCATGAGCAGATTGAAAATGAGTGTATCATTGGTTTACTTCAGCAACGTAGCCGGACAGTGTACAATGTGCACTCAGACAACAAACTCTCAGAGATGCTTAGCCTCTTTGAGAAAGGGTTAAAGAATGTAAAGGTAAGTAGACTATAAGAAGGACTTGTGTCCTAAGGAAAACATGCTGTGATTACATATTAGTTTGCCCCAACTTTTCTTAATACTCTCTGCAAATAAACTAAGGAGGAAGAAGAAACATTTGTGGTTTCTTGATACAGTAGTGAAAACTTTCCAGTCCAAAACACAATTTCTTTTGCCATTCATCAGTTACTAAATTTCTAGTAAAAATTCTTTTCAGAGGTATATTTTTGACATCGCTGAAGTCCATCGTTGCATAATTAGAGGTATTTTGGAGAGACAACATGGAAGTTTCAGATACTAAGACTGCTCTGCTAATTGGTCAGAACAGTTGCTGACTATAGAAATAATGGTTTTTATTAATTTGTTAGGAAACCTTGAGTATCTTTCTTTTTTGTGGCACACAGCATTGCATTATTGTCACAAATGGAGATGATTACCAGACTTAAAAAAAAAAAAAAGGCAGCATTGTTTTATTCTGTTAGTGAGTCATGTACTCCTTCCAGTAATCTGTTGCTCAATAGTGCTGTTAATGTTCCAGTCCTCAAGAAACTCTAAATATTATTTCTCCAGCTGGCTTTTTCATGACTTAAATTCTTCTCCAGTAGAATCCTTCTTGAATTGTGCCATATCTTTCTTCTGGGGTACCCAACTCAACTGCCCCTTCCTGCACGCTTAGAACTATAGTCTCCAGTAATAATTTGACATCCCATATTGCATTTCTAGTACACACGGTCCATATTATCAGTAAGAAAAGTAGTTAATATGCAGTTGATTTATTCCATTGTACTATCTAAGGCTGTTTTTAACCTGAGAATCCTGCAGATAATTTTTTTCCCTGTGCATATCAAACCTTAAAATTTGTCTTGTTTCCATTAATGAATTGGAAAATGAAGGAAAGTGAAGGAGAGGGGAAATTAAACACTTGGCTTTGTGTTATACCCCCTCTGATAGGATGCTAGTGTTACTCTGTTACTTGACTTCTCAAGTGTGGAAAAACAGATTTCTCTAGCTCTCTTGAGATAAGTTAACTTTTTTTGAGTGTGGTTAGTTTAAATTAAACTGATGGCTTAAGCTTTTTTTCTGTAATAGTCAAGGTTTCTTGATGTTGTAGAAGTTTGAAAAGAAAAACTTACAACATTTACTGTAAGAGCTATGAGGAACTTCAGTATGTTGCAATTACTGGGCAGACTTCAGAACCAGCTTCTTATTACTGGCACAGAGAACAACCTAACAAATTGATAGATGAGGTTGGTCTAACTTTAACTTTTAAAAGTCAGTTATGTCTTTATTTAAGAGTTCATTCTGTTTCTGAAGTAAATATCTATAGAGCATGTCTGAGTATAAATTCTAGTTATAATTTGGAAGCTGGAATTGTAGAATTAAGTAATGTAAAATGTATGCAGTTAAAAGATGAAGTGGAACTGCTGTATCCTAGAATAATTCTTATGCAAAACATGCGAATACTTAGATTAGTCTGTTACTACTTTGAACTTTGGGTGAGACTGTAGATTGGCAGTCTTCAGTCTTTGCTCCAAAGTAAAAATGTGATTAGACAAGTTAATTCATATCTGATAACAAAATAAATTGGAATTAGGCAGGAAGGGAATACTTTGTTCTGCCTAGTAACAGGCCAGTACAGACTGTCCGCTTGTCATGAAACTTTCTAAGTGAATGCATTTTTACCATGAAATACAGCAAACGTGCCGCGTGCACGGGGAAGACATAACGGGCTTTCCTTTGAAACGCTTGTTCAATCCTTGAATGAATGGATAAGATTAGCTAATAGTTAAATCTTTGCTTTCTTCTCAGAATGAATATGAACAGCTAAACTATGCGAAACAGCTGAAGGAGAGATTGGAAGCCTTTACCAGGGATTTCCTTCCTCATATGAAAGAGGAAGAGGAGGTAGGTAAAAATTTTCCTCAATTATGCTGATCTTCCTTGGCGTTTGGAATGACTGAATAGAGACAAAGGGCTTAGAGATTCAGTTTTTTCACAATTCTCTGTTTTATTACTATGCCAATTTGCATTCAGGACTGTGGTGTCATTGTTCTGTTCTCTGACTGCAAAGTAACACATGCTGAAACAGTGAATATATTGAAAATTTATGATGAAATTCTGGTCCTTTAAAAAATTGGTGAGAAAAGTCTACTGGGGCTGGGATTTGTTTGCAGCAGGTAGTTATTTAAGGGGATGTCTAGCAAAACTTAAAGGAAAAAGAGAAGTCCTGTAAACCAGTGCTTCGTGACTCACTGACACTCCCAAACAGCCTCTGACCTATATTTGAAACATAGACTCGTACTGCCAGTCTGATGATTTATGGGTATCCAAAAACTGGGAAGCATCTTCTGGAAAGAGTAAATCTTCCGAAGTCTGTCCAAGAGAAATCTTTTGTCATGTTTTTCTTCCTTGCCACTTTGCCTTCTGTGTGAGTACCTCAATAAATTACATAGTTTAAGCAACTTTAATCATTTCCCTTTTCTGTTGGGGAAAACAGTTAAACAGCTTGCCTGAGACTATGTAGTGATCCATTGGTAAGCAAAGGGTTGGAACTCAAAGCTTCCATGGTCCTGTCCTTAGGTTCACTTAATGTATGACATGTTTTACTTGGAGAGAATTTGAAACAGGAAATTCTGTGTTGGTAGGTCTGTATAGCGTTATTGACTATCTCCGTCTGCATCAGACTTTTTTTTTTTTCCCCTTTTTCCTTTGCATTAGGTTTTTCAGCCAATGTTGATGGAATACTTTACTTATGAAGAATTGAAAGATATTAAGAAGAAAGTAATTGCACAGCACTGCTCGCAGAAGGAGGCTGCAGAATTCAGAGGTCTTAGTAAGTGGAATCAAGCAGAAGAGCTTCAGAAGGTCTTTAAGTATTCTGTGGACGAGAAGGCAGATCAAGGTGAAGCATCTAATTTACAGTAATTTTCAACCTGCAATTTTTATCTAAAAAGCCACACCAGTGACATACCTAAAGTTAAGTACGGGCAGATAAAATAGGTTTTATAACATGGGAATTTCTTCAAACCAGTTTTGAAACTTCAGGAACTTTACTGTTTAATACAGGCTTCTTGGCAGGTTGTAATGTAGATAGTGCTTCACTGTTTACCTGTTTTCAATCTTCTTCCTCTCCCTTCCCATGGTAATATTTGATATAATAAACACGTAGAAATGATAATTAACTTCTAATTTCATACTTCCATTGAAATTATATTTTCTATTTGCGGACCCTGCATTTAATTCTTGGCTTTCAGGACTGCTTTGTAAGCTTACTGTTCGTGGTTTAATAACACAGAATAGTTAGCCAACTAACAATATTTCAAATTAAAAGCAACTTACCTCCCCCAACTCTACTACCTTAGTCCCCTGGGCCTCTCAGGAATCGGAAAGCAAGAAACTGTGCGTGTGGAGTAATGCAAGGGAATGAATCCGTGCAGCGTGTGAGTAGGTCAGCTGAAATACATGTTCTGAAAGTGGATATTTAATTTGCATTCATTTGTAACTACTTTTCCTGATGAAACTTAGAATAAATGGATAACTACTAAAGTGCATTTCAGGCTTGTTTTATGACTGTTGAAGCAGCCCGAGTTGTCCGTCTTTACAGTTTTCACCCTTAACTAACAAAGAAGAGTTGATGCCCCAAAGATGGGGAATTAATGTACCAAAAGTGTAATACTGGGGTGTGAGGCTGATAAGTAGAGCAAGCCCTCATGAACTGAGTTTGTGGTGTTGATAAGATGTGGTGCTCTCATTAGAGTAGTTTTTCAAGTTTTTCTGTAATTAGATTTTTTTTGATGAAACTTGACTTCCCTGAACTACTGAACTGGGCATTTTCTGCCCTCCAGGTAGAACCTTCAGAAAAAATCATGGTCCATGGTGTGAAATACTGTCAAGTCTGAACGAGTAGTTTTTCAAGTTTTTCTGTAATTAGATTTTTTTTGATGAAACTTGACTTCCCTGAACTACTGAACTGGGCATTTTCTGCCCTCCAGGTAGAACCTTCAGAAAAAATATGGTCCATGGTGTGAAATACTGTCGAGTCTGAACAGGTGAATGTGACAGAAGTAGCCTTATGGCAGGCATTACTTGCTGTTAGGTCTAGCTGGAATAGCAGTTTTGGGACAGTAGTAATTCTGCAGTGATTGTGTTTTTGACTTTAGGGAGAGGGAAGTATGTATCCTACATCAATTTTTCTTTTTTTTTTTTTTTTTTTGAAATGGAAGAAAATAACACAGCTTGCAGTCCTGTGCAGTTAGAACTGCATTTCAGTGTAAAATTCTCTGTAGTTTACCTGCAGTGACTTGCCAGGTGTACGAATATTGATTCATCAAATGAAACTGTATTTAATTATATTTTTTTTTGAAGTAGCAATTGATTATCACAGGGTAAAGTTTACATTATGCTCACTTTTGAAGCTTCTTTGCGAAAAGAAACCTGGTGCTTGTCTTGCTGTAAATTCCTATGTACTTTGTGTCCTAACTACAGAAGTAAATCCCTACAAATTTGTGAAACTTGCTATTTCTAAGGACTCCTGAAAACTATTTTAGAAATATTTTTTCTCAAGTAAATTTTCCTTAAAGCATTAAAAATTCTCTTCAAACAGCAAAAACCCCACTAACCAAAGCACTGAATTTGTTATTTTTATATAGTTTGCAGCTCTCTTTGTACTATGCGATAAGGCAGAGCTATTGGAGATGGTTCCTACTGCTGTCGATTGAAGTATTAATTACAGTGGTCAAAATTTAGTTTCTAACATAATATTTGGTAGTATTTTACAACCTGAATGGTTTGTTGCCATCCAGAAGTTAAAATTAATTGTCTACGCTAGCAGTTAAAGCTAGAAATAAAATACGAGACAGCTGCAGAGTTAAGCATGGACTTCTTGCTGTGTCCCAGTCAAGAGGTTGAGTGCTTCCAGTGAGAGTGGTCCCAGCCGGAAGATTCTGTGTGCTAGTACTGTTTCCTGGGAATGTGACAAAGCAGGTGTGTATATATATATATCATCTATGACGGAAGGCAATTTTTTAAAGCATTTCATTTATAGCAGACACTGCTTTCATCTTGCTGTGGCTGAGTAGCAGCAGTTTACTTTTGTCCAGGGCTTTTTCGGACTCTTCGGCAGTCAGGGGTGGAAAAAATTAGCTAGTTGAGAAAATGACAAACAGAAAACTGAACTGATTTTTTTTTTTTTGTTGTTTATTTGTTTAAGGTGTTATTACAGTGAAAGCTTTTTAAAGCCAAAGTGATACCTATTTTTTCAACTCTTTTACCAGACAATTGTTTACAACTTTTTTCGGACACTATTTTTTCATTGCTCTAGTCAAAAGTTCCACTGCTGAGTTCCACTACTGTTATTTAAAGCTGTGAGTCTGTGCTTCACTTAATATACACTTTCTGTATTTCAGAAACCGAAGTAACAGGGCACACCACAAGTATTACTAATCTTCCTCCTGAAGTAATGCTGACCATTTTCAGTTACCTTAACCCCCAAGAGTTATGTCAGTGTAGTCAAGTAAGCACTGAATGGTCACAGTTGGCCAAAACTGGATCTCTCTGGAAACATCTTTATCCTGTTCGCTGGGCCAGAGGTAAGTTAAATTTAATTCTTCTTATGAAAGCACGTCAATTATCAGAATTTCTGAGTCTACAAAAGAGTTCATTTTATTATGGGGTGTCATGTACAATGAACCTGTCAGCTGAGCATACTGGAAGGGTGTACTCTTCTGGCAAGGATAGTGCCCTGAAACTTGGTTAAATGTTAAAAATCCCCAAAACATACTTGTATCGTGTAGAATTAAGAAACTAAAAGTAGTCTTGGTTGTAACTCATGAGTAGCTCTTGTATACAAACTGTTGTTTAGTTTTACTAAGGTTTGCTTGCTTGTATGAATGCTAACAAGTATATTCACTAATATAACAACTTAATTATGATTTAAGAATCTGAGGCATTTGAATTATAAATGCTGCTGTTACGCTTATAACAGTAAATTTTTTGTTTCATTAAGTTACTAGGTAAAAATAAAATACATAACTGCAGAATGGAAGTTTAAAACAAATGGAGATCTAACATCTCCTCAGAATCTATTCTTACTTTTTATATTCAAACTTATGAATGTTACTTTTAGTATTGATTCTTTAGATATATATTACTTCAGTAACTTCTACTGCGGTAAGGACTAAGTGGTTTTTATAACTTCAGTTCCTCAAACTGTCCTGTTGATTAAAATTTCCTATTGAGAAGTGTAACCTTTGGAAAAGTACCTGTTCAAATAGACAAAATACTCTGTATTCCAACAAGGCCAGTTACAAGTCATCAGAGTATATTTGTAGCTTTAAATATTTGTATTTGTCCCTATTTATGTGAGTATTAAACAATCACTGGAGTATGGCATTGCAGGCTTCACAATTGCTGCCATGTCAGTGTAGCTGAGTAAAAAGGAGACAATCTATGCTGTTTAATAATCTTAAAGGCACATAAAATATAGTTTTTAAGAGAGAAAGCTAACGATATATAACTTAAATTTTGGGATACATAAAGACTAAAAACTTTTTTCTGACTGGACCTTCATCTCTTCTGAAATCTGTATAAAGCAGAGAAGAGTTAAATGACTTTTGGGTCTGAATTAATTTTTTTGGTTGGATAAATCTTACTGAAAATAATAGTTTGGTCACTGAGCTGCAAAAGACAGGGTGGAGAGGAGAGGTTTCAGAGTTCAAATTGTTAAATTGTCATTTTCATCTAAAACCTAGTTGTCTCAATAATTCAGTGCTACACAAAAAAGATAATTGGCAACTGCTTAAAATGACTTACTCCTGAAGCTGTTTTTGGCACAACAGGAAGCTGGTCTCATGATGTACTGTCTATACTACTACAGTTGTTTGTGCGGAAGTGCTCTAAACTGGGTGGAAGCTTCTCAAATGGGATTTACTGCCAGAGGTGAAAAAACAAACCCATGAAACTACAAGCTTAGTTAAATTTTTGACTTTTTATTTCCTTCTAATACAGAGACGACTTCTGAGGCTTTTTATATATTATAAAGATAGGTTAAAGAAGATGAGAAATGGTACCGAAACCTTTTGCTTCACAGTTGGTTTACAATCAGTTAGGATTTCATTGTCACTGTATTGCTCACATAAGAAACCGTGTTCCTTTAGATACCACTCAACAGGCATTGCTTTTGCTTTGGGGATAGCAGGATCTCCTACTAGTGAGATAGCAGAATAAGGTCTTTCTGTTTTAAGCATGTGTCCACTGAGGGAGGCAGCAGACCTGCTTATACCGAGCCTAACACTACAATACACCCAAACTAGAGGTGAATTAATGCCTGTGCAGTAACCCTCAGGGAGAGGGGGTGGCCTGACAGCTAAAACAGTGGAGCTGTTGCTGATACTGGTATTCATCCAGATGATCTAAAGAATGATTGTCTGTTGATTTGAGTCATATGTGTGCTATAATCAAGTATTACATAGCTGTTCTAAGTAGGCTACTTCTGGAACTTGGGTTTCTTGATCCTGGAGTTGTCATGTGCAGTGACTAAAAACAGACTAATAAAATAATATCCCGGTTGACCGTGTATTTGTAAGATTCCAGAGGAAAATGGAAATGTCTTATACCAAGTGTTATACTAAAAGTTGATGGTTAATTTATCTACTAGAAAGAACTTCAGCACCTACACAGGTCAAATATTCCATAATTGTTTCTCTTATAATCCTGTTGGTCCCTACTAAGAAAATAAGGACCATAGGCATGTCTCAAAGTAGCATAATAGGCTGTGAGTTCTGTAACGGTACTGAAACTGTTCCAGGAATCTTTTGAAACTTTAAAACATAGATCAAACCAGAATTATGTCAAGGTTCAGTCCAGCCCTAGTTGAGATGAATGCAAAATTCATTTCTATCTTTAGGTCAGGTCACAGTATACTGAGATGTTATCATTGCTATTTTCTGCAGTGATGAGAAATTTGTCTTAACTTTTTTTCCACTTATTTTTTTTGGCGGGGTGGGGGTTGAGTAGGTGATTGGTATAGTGGTCCTGCAGCAGATCTTGAGACAGAACCTGATGAGGAATGGGTGAAAAATAGAAAAGATGAAAGTCGTGCTTTCCAGGAATGGGATGAAGATGCTGACATAGATGAATCTGGTAGGTACATTCTGGGTTTGGTGACTTTTTTTTAAATTATTTTATTTTTTTTTCCTCTGAAGATGACATAGCTATGAGAAATAAATGTGTAAAATAGTCTTTTCTGTAAAATTAGTTTAAAATACAGATTTTGTCATAGTTGATACCAGTACATTAAAACAATGACAAATGCAATACTACTTACGTTCTGTCTAGATTAAATGCTTACTAAGCCAAGTAGACTTACACAGTAAAAAAGGCCTTGGGAAGTTTTGTCTAGCAACTATTTAAGGTTCTTGAAAGGAGTGCTCTCTCTCTTCATCTTCATATCATCCTGACTCCCAGCTGGGTGAAAAAAAGGGGAATAGGAGAGGAGGGGGGGTGGAGAAGCAGGTACCTGGTTTTAATGAGCTGAATTAATTCATCTAGGAGACAACAAACATGAGTGCAGGTAGAAGAGTAGTTATGGGGATGTGTCTCGAGTTAGGAAGGAGGTAAAAGCTCTGCTTCCTCTCTTCCGGAAGTTTGGATGAATCATCTTTCATCCTAATTAATTCTAGACTTAATTCAAAATTTGTCTTAAGCTGTTATATCACAAAATATGAAATGCCCTGTAAAATAGTATTTCAATGTATAAAGCAAATTGGTGGAAACAGCTGCCCCAGACAGCCCTGAGCAGTACATTACCTGTAGTAAATATTTCTCCAAGTCCTTTAATGATAATTTTCTGTTAAGCCTATTACTGTTTTTACTTGCTCTTGGAGTTAAACTCTTCAGGACTGTCAGAAAGTCAGATACATTTTAAAGATGAGGCTTAAGTGGTATATTGAGCTAGAATTCAGCAAAAGTTTGATGTTAAGGTACTTTCTGAAACTTATGCCTTGTTAAGCTTTCTTAGTTTCCTGATAACTTGTTTGATGTAAGATGGAAATATGAATTCCAAATGACTTAAAGCATATTTGAAGTCTTTCTCTTCGGTTTTATTCTGCAGAAGAAGCTGAAGGTTCACTGGCCATTAATATAGCACAAATGGAAAAACGTTTACTTCATGGCTTAATTCATAATGTCCTCCCGCATGTAGGCTCGTCAGTGAAGACATTAGTATTGGCCTACAGTTCTGCAGTGTCTAACAAAATGGTATGTAATTTGAAACTGGCATTTAATGTGGCTATGCAGCCCCTGATTAATAACTGATGTGCCAGAGTTTAAAACACTCTGGTAGTGAAAACAATTTGCAACTCAAGAGAATGTTAATTCATATGTTGTCTGTTAGCACTGTGTGCAGCCTGACTGGCTTGTGTCTTTACTGATTATTTTCGTTTCCATTTCCAGGTTAGACAGATCTTGGAGCTTTGCCCCAACTTGGAATATCTGGATCTCACTCAAACAGATATTTCCGACTCTGCATTTGAAAGGTTAGACAATTGTTGTTTCCTTTTCTAAAAAAAAAAAAACCAAACCAAAAAAAACCCCAAAAAAACAGAAAACAAAACACCAGCTTCTTGAGGGGAGGAAAAAACATTCCAACATGTCTTAGTCCATTGCCAATAAAGAAAGAAATAGAGAAATCACATTCAGGATGCACACATAACTAAGAACTAAACCAAAGTAACAAGTCAATGAAATGGCAAGTGAAGCGTGTACCTTTGTAATAGCCATTTAAAATGCTCTGTCTTCACTATTGGATATGTATTACCTGTTAATATGTAGTTATCCATAACAATAATTGTGTGTTGTTCTACTATTAACAACTTGAAATTGTCCATAGATTTTGTGGAGTCATTCAGTTATACTAGTTCTCTTGGTCCGATACAGCTGGTAGGGTTTAGAAAACTGCTATTTAAGACAGTGATTTAAATGGTAGGCAAAACTCTAAGGCTTACGTGTAGTAACTGTGGATTCCTGAGTTTTACTAAAGCCTGCAGAAATTTCATTGATTGTCAGCGGGATGGTGCATGGATGCAGAGCCTGTACCAATGGGTCTTACTGTGATACTGAAACTCAGTGGCTATTTCGGTGTTCAATGCTTTCGTCATACAGTGCTCGCAAGTTTTATGTGTTAACAGCACAGAAAATTTTACCAGTATGGATGCTCATAACAACACTCTGCAGCTTGTGCAAGAAGTTTTAGTTGAAATAAAAGCTTTAAGGAATTTCTGTGGCTTAGAAATCAATCTTTGTGAGCTTTTATCAATCTCTAGTGAAACTTACATTATTTGCCACTCCTTATATCTATATTTCTAAATCTTCAATTTTTAACTCAGAAAATGAGTTTGACTTGCTGTAAATGTAAGTAATCACTTATGGAAAGTAAATGATAGTTAACTTTAACTATGGATAGGTAAAGGTCACTTAAATCAGCTATATACTTTTATGTAACAATATTACTGTAGATCAAATTTCTATTTCAGTGGAAAAAGATAAAACTGAAGGGGTGAGGTTTTGTTAATATGAAAAAGTCTGATTTCGTTACCATCTCTAATCATAATCGCTTTTATGGAAGAATTAATACTGTCCACAGAATGTGTTTCAGGAATCCAACTATCCTCTCTGATACAGAAAACGACAGGGAGATATATGATCTAAGTATGCTGATATTTCAATATGTGTAAACAGCCAAGCTTGAGAAACTCAATACTAGAAATTACAGCTGTTAAAATACTTTGAGCTTAATACTACATCTTGGATGGTTTGGTTTTTTTTTGTGGGGGGTGTGTGTGTGATGAAATTTGCTAGTACAGTAAGTTTTTTCAGCCTTCTGAGGAGTTAACTGTGATGTCTAGTAATTTAGATGGCTCTCAGTAACTGCGTTATACACAACAGAAGCTGCTTTTTGAAATTGTTGGCATGTATGTATTTGGTCTTTGGAGTCTATCTGCTATTTAAAAATTTGTTCAATGTATGGCAAATTTGGACTTCTTTTAAGTCCCAGTATATGAGGAAAAAATACATGATTCGTGATTCGTTTCACACTTTCTTTAGACATAATTTCTCTAGTCGTATATACAGCACTTGGAGTATCAAATCTAACCTGTCTGGGGTCTTTTCTTTAAATATTCTGTGAACTAAGTATTTTCCTTGTGAAATGTGGGTTTTGTATATTTATCCTTAACACCTGTTTCTGAACAAAAACTAAACCCCCCTCTACCCCCCCCCCCC